TATTTATGGTCCAGGGTCCAGTTTACTCTCTGCGCATAAAGGGCGTCTCAAAACCATTTAATAAGAGCCTTGTTGGTGTAGTTTTAGACTTACACCAACTCTCACCAGTTGTGAGTCCCTTTTCAAAAGGTTTATAGTAAGTTTAATTGCCAGGCAGTACAGGCGATATTTAGGTTTAATGTTTAATGTTGCTGTTGTGGAAACAGTTGTTGTTGGTAGAATCAAATGTTTAGAGTTGCGTTTCCTGTGTACATTATGCATGTTATAATGATACACAAACACAGTGCATCCAGGTGAATGTTGGTTTTGAGCATTGGGCTTTATTTAGGTTATAATTTGTTCATCTGGTCTATTCACTGACTGAGTGAGGGAATTCATACGTCCATGTATTATATTTTACAGATTTCTCTTGTGAGACTTGAGTCTGGAGTATCTTGAGTTGTTCCAAGAGAGCTAAACTGTGAAGGTAACTGAAGTAAACTAGGCATTAGTATTAGGCACTGTACGCCTGTAAAACTGACAATAGCATTCATCTGATGTTTCTTTAAAAGAAAATATATGATAACAAATATCATGTGTAAAGTATGCATAACATTTACACATTAATCCCTAACACACTTCAGAACTACAAGATGCTGAGTCCCAACGAGAGTTGGGTTAGCCTGGATGACTTTCAGCCTCGCTGTACCTGTCTATACCCCCACACAACTTGGACCGATGCAGCCATCCCCTCCAACAACACTAGGCCCATCACCCCCACTATCCCCACACCTAGATCAACGATGTTTGATTGTAACAGACCAGACAGCCCCATCAGCAAGTATCTAGAAAACCAGGACTCCTTCCTTTCTCCAGAATGTCCCAGATTTAATTCATTCTTTGACACCAATGATCGAACATCAACATTTCTATCAGTCACTCCAGATATCTGGTCTGTCAGCCCCAGTGATGAGTCTCTCCCAGCCAGCACCAGCTCCAGCCTGAGCTCCACCAGTCTTACTGATCCCTTCCTCAGCTCTTCTACCCTTTTCCAGAATTCTGAAGAAATTTTCGATGATCTTCTTCCCTCCCCATCTTCCAGCACAAGCAGCTTGAACTATGGCTTCATACCTAGCAGATCTCTGGAATCAGATACGTCAGGTTTGCCAGATGACATGAACCTCTCAGCCACAGTTTACAAAGACATCTGGTTCTGTAACACCTATGACCTTTTTCAGGATTGACCACTTCTGACCTCAAGCTGCATGTCTCTTCCTGTCAGCTCAGTGAGCAGCTTCACCAACCTGAGTGAGTGCAATGTGTCCTGCAGTCTGACCAGCCTGTGCCACCAAGGAGTGTCACTTCCAGTTCCCAGCAGGAGACCTGGATCCCTGAACAAGATGGTGGATAGGAAGAGAAAGAGAGATAAGGATAATGAGGTGGAGCTGAAGGTTTGTAAGAGGATCAGGCTATAAGTATGGAAGATTTACAATGTTTGTCTGAATGTATGTCTGAATATCTGTCAGTATCTGTTTTAATAACATCTTTTCAGTTTTCTATACTTCGGTCTGAATGGATGCGTCTTATATCTGAACCTTTGTCCTACTTTGATACTGCAAAACTTAGTTATACAACATTGTAAGGTTATTTAACACCTAATATATTGTCTGAAACTGACTGGATGGAATACAATCCCTGTTATGAAATAATGCTTATGCTTCATTTAACTAAAGTTTATATACCAATTTCTGTTGGACACCAGATGTCTTTTCTATCCAACACCTATGCAATATAAATATAAGTAGAACAGGTGGTGTAAGTGTGGCTAGATGGGGAGGTGGAAGCCATTGTTTGGATAGGCTTGTAGTTTGTATACAGTCTACAAGATGTAATGTTAAAGTCATGGTTAGTACAGGTGGTGTAGGTGTGGCTAGATGGGGAGGTGGAGGCCACTGTTTCATTCGGCTGTTGAATTGTTTAAAGTGTGTGCATATGAACTGAAAACACTAACTGTCAAAGATTATAAAGGTATTATAGGATTATAAATGTTTAGATTTAGTTTACTTTTACCTCTTTTTTGTTTTGTTTCATTCATACTTCTAAAACGAAATTTGTTTCACAGGGATAAATTCTGATTTCTCAAGTTTACCTGTCTTTTGTTGTCATTCATAACTGAAGCAGATGCAAGATGAGAGATTTCAAAATCTGGTAGCACATCACAAACATGTTCTGAAAGTATGACCTGGGATTTATCCCTTTCTTGGACAAAATGACTTACCCAAGACTTACACAACATCTATTTTCCTCTATGATTGATTTCCGTATTGATCTGGGTTCAGATGAACACTTTCAAACTTCGCATTTCATCCTTCCAACATAAAGGCAAGAATTTATGGATGGCATAATTGAGTTTTTTTTAGTTACACAACGACTCGGGGTATGTTCTTACTCCTTTACTACCCATATAGGAAGAAGGGCACAGGGTAGTGTTTTTCCTGTAAGTCCCTAGGGAGGTTACACCTTTAGGTGTACGTTGATTGGCTGATTCCAGCCAATAAAGTCGCTTTACACGCAGAACTGCTGTTTTCAGTTTAGCTTATTTTAGATCCCAACCTGATATGGGTAATAAAAAACATTAACCAACTCGTGAAAACAGTTACATGTTGAAAATGTTTCAGCAAACACAACACCATCATTTGCAAAAATGGACTTCATTTTGAATGAGTAGAATTAATTCACATATTATACAGGTATCACAGCTCTAAAATCAGTCATCTAGCTTAAAACAAAAATATCCCTGATTTCTGATAATCAATTCCCGTTTGGTCAGGTATCAAATGCTGTAATCATACTTATATCCTTCGATTATTAGTTATACAAACAGCACCATCTGAAAATGTATATTCTATGTATAACACAAGCTACAGTCTATTTCTATCAAATGGGCAATGGAAGACAGGTAAGTATGTTTGGCATTTGGTTAAGAGTTAAACTAGCTAGAACTACTAATATTTTTCACGGTTAAATAGGGCAACTGAAAATTAACACGTTCTACAATGACATGACATGTTTTCACTGTTCAAAGTGTTAGTATGGTTCAGCAGACCACTCTACAAAGGTTTGATGAGATTGTGTAATTTTTTTCCAGGGTATAAGATAGGTTCATATTCTTGAATATGGACTTATTGTGATCCAACTTATGTAAAAGATCTCCATCTGGAATATGATAAAATATGGACAATGTCATCATCAAATTCTCTTGCAAAGACTCTTTTTTAAACCTTAAGCACATTTAATTATAGTCATTTTAATCAATTTTTAAAAAAGCATCGTTTCAAACAACTACTTGGATTATGTTTTTACATGAAGTATTGCACCTTGCTTCTGGTGTTATTTGTCTATGAGAATATATCGACCACTGACAGTATTAACTCAGGACGGCATGTTTATCCAGGAATCAGTACTGACATGTTCCAAGTTCAAGGTGAATAATGTACTAGTTTCTTGAAGCACAGTTGTCAAAGGCTAAAAACAGTGCAGCTATAACATAATAGCTGTTCTGCGAAGGACAGTAGCAAAGACTATGTTAATTTTTGTTACCCAATAGTCAAAATATATGGCAACACTGTAACAGTGATGATACAAGATCAAGCAAAGATGTTGATTTCAGATACAAAAACACATCGATAAAACTAATGAAACAACAATTTCAAATATAACCTGACAAAAAGTCAAATGAGGGCTGGAAAAAATGAAAATCTGAATATAAAAAGCAGTCACTAAACAGACAACATGGACATTTCTAAGACAACACTGGTCAGGTATGTGCATCGGACACACGATATTGGTATCTCTTATTTGGATATTGGTCAAAATGTAGAAGTTTTCCAAGCAAACCTTTGTGCAAACTAAGGAACCATTTGGTGTAGCGTGGCCAGAATGTGGAAGCCATTATGATACATCTCCATAAGCAAGGGAGATAACTGATAATAAGGTTCTAGTTGAACAGATACCTAAAAGCTCGGTCAAAATGTGTAAGTTTTTAGAGTTTCCCCAAGGCATTTTTAGCAGGGTGCAGCACCCTACCCTTTTTATTTTTCTTAGTTTTTCCAAAGCTAAATAAGGAAACCTTTGTGGAAAAATAGTGAAGCAAACTAAGGAGCCATGGGTGGCGGCCTTGCCAGAATGTGGTGGAAGCCATTATGATACGTCTTCCATAAGCAAGGGAGATAACTGACAATAAGGTTTCCACTGTGGTCGTTCTTAGATGCACTTTTACAGTCAGTAATTTAAGTAGGGATTATGGACCGGTTTTACCCACACTGGCACCAGACTATGGGAGCCAGGCAATGTTTCAAAAATCGGGATCCTTTGGTCACAGAGGTTTGCTTCGCTGGTCTTGTGGTCTTTAAATCTGGAACATGCCTTAGTTTGTACTTTTAATCGTATGTGAGTACCCATAGGCTTTCCTGCATAACTTCAAACACTGCATGCTGGTTTATTCCAAATTACAACAAGCAATTAATGTGTACACTAACACAGCCGATATGATAATGTCAAATAAATGAACACTGAAGTAAAAGCTGAATGAACAGGAACAAATTATAACCTTGTCATCTGAAACTAAAACATATACAATGTGTTTTTAGATTTGAGGGTGAGTATCAAATGCATAGAAATTCCATTCAAAACCATCACAAGCCTAAAAACACATAAATGTATTGACACTGAAAAATGACCCACACGCACTATCTGTCGTTTTGTTATGACGTCCTCAGTACATTAAGTCTCATGCATCACTCCGGAATACTGGGACATCATATTTGTTGTGTAACCCCACCCTCGACAATATTCCACCGATATAACAGTGGACAGAAAATAATGAAATCTGGTCCAGACAATCCAAGTGATGGACATCATGAGCATCGATCTGGGATAAGATGATATGCATCAGCTGTCAGTCTGACCACCAGATCCTGTTAGTCATCTTATGACAGACATGAAGACCAATCTACATGCCATTTTACACCTGGAGTTCATTCACGTTATAACACTGGGGATATAAGGTTCCCCTGGTCAGTTACAAGGCAACAGTGGTTCATGGTACAGGTGCTGACACCTACAATTAGGACTGGCTACCCCTGCCACAGCTACAACTTGGATGTGGTCAAGATTCTGGAGTATGTGTCCTGTTTGATGGGAATGTAGGACTTAGTGACCTGGTCAGCAAAATAGAGAGGATCGTCCACTAGGTTGATGTCAAATCCCTCCTTGACCAGCTCAACCTTCCTCTGTTTGAATGTAGCTGTCAGCGTAGCCTCCTTTTGAAGACGCAGAAACATTGGACGGGCATATGTAGCTAGATTTTCCTCACAGTGTTTCCAGAATTTTCGCAGGAGCTCGGGGGTCAAGGGTTTATCATCGTACAGTGTCAAGGCTGCCATGCCGGCTCGACCATCTTGCCCTGAAATACACAAGATGCTCAACTAATCAGCTGATAACAAAACTAACTGACATACATCAACATCATTTTGTGAAGAAAACAATAACAATACACAGATTTGTTTTTTAAATCACATTTTCCTCAATATATGACTGTGTGTGAAAGTTCAGTTTCGTGAAAACAGTCAAAAACTTTAGTACAAGCAAGTGAATTATTTGAGCAGAATAGCAGATATCTAATTTTCAAAAAATAAATGGTTCTTATGAATCTAAACATTTAAAAGTTGCAGTACTTGGCACCATGGCATGTACGTACAAAAGGGAATACAATGAAATATATGTGTCATTGTGAGTTTCAATTGTTAGGATCAAAATAGCGGAACTGAGATGGTACACAACTGCATTATTTTACAAAGGTAACATTTGATTGGCTCAACAAGTCATTCATCTCGACAGGTCAGGTCAGGTCAGGTCAGCTAGTACAGGTCTTCTGACCCCTGATGGTTTGGTGTAGTTTGTTTGTTGTTTAACGCTGCACTCAGCAATATTCCTATATGGCGGCAGCCTGTATATAATATAAATAATCGAGTCTGGACCAGACAATCCAGTGATCAACAGTATGAGCGTCAATCTACACAATGGGGATACGATGACATTTGTCAACTAAGTCAGCGAGACCTCTGATGGAGGATAGGTCAGATCATAATGCTGGGAGTTATGCTACCGTAACTGATCTGGTCTTCATGAAAGTGCAGGAGCCTACGGCAAGTCTCATGCAGATGAACAATAATACAAGAAAACAATGGACGACAGTGTACTTTCAGTGTGAAGACACACTCGTGATCATAGCTAATTGGGACGTTTTTGAGTGAGAGTGATACAAGTAATACACAGAAAGGTACAAAATGATAGAACGATACATATAAAAATGGACACAATGGATTTTTCTATTTATCTTCATACCTTAGCATATTGATACTTTGTTCTGACTCTAGTGTCCTCAGTTGTGATATTGCAGGAATATTGCTAAAAATGGCACTACACTCACTCACTTTTAATAAAAGTCTTCATCAGACAGGATGCACCAAGCGTCTGACCTCGAATGGTAAGAGTGTTATTTTACAACTATGGTATACTTGGAATCCAGATGACAGACTTATAATAAAGAGAACTGGTACACTACATATTGGACAAATGATACAAGCATGCTAACTGGGAAAACAACCTCAGATTTCCCACCAATTTACAGCAAAAAGTCTTCCACCGACATGAAAACACCCACCTGGAATAGTGACGCCATAGACATTGGCATCATGGATGAAATCCAGGGAAGTCAAAATGTTGGCCACCTCCGTTGTTGATACGTTCTCACCCTTCCATCTAGAAACCAACAGCAGAGTTGACACTGTTAGTCGATGTAATAACACAATAGTGAGAACGACAACAAACCTTTTTAGATTTATTCTGAGACACTGAATATTCTGAATGGTAATAGCTGCAGGACAAGCCATCAAGCCAGTGATGAAAAGAGGATATCTTATGCTCTGATAAATGTTGCAGTAACTAAATTAAAACTAGTTAAATGTTTTTGGGTTTATTATAAAAATCAAACACAATCTCGTTAAAGAATCAGAACTTCCAGTGTCATAACTGTTGTCTGCATCAAGATTTGGCAACACCTCCATAGAAATGAGCGAGTGACTTAGTTTTACAGCACTTTAAGCAATAATCCAGCAATATCACTGCGAGGGACACCACAAATGGGCTTCACACATTGTACCCATGTGGGGAAGCGAACCTGTGTCTTCTGCGTGATGAGTGAGTGCATTAACCACTGGGCTACCCCACTGCCCCACCTCCATAGAAAGCCCACAAACATTTACCAGCTAATCAAAATAATGGATCTGTGGGTGCAGCTTTCAAAAACAAGATGGCTTAAATTCTTTAACACCTTGATTTTGAACATTTCAATCTCTGCCAAAGAAACCACCCTACAAATACCATCCTGGAAACCCTTTCAGTTGGTCAATGTCACAAACTCACAAACAACAGTATGTACAAAATATCATAACAATATCATTGCTTATTATTATTTTTTCAAATTCAAATTTCCTTGATTAAATATTGTAAATGTTAGAAGCCTTGATGGTGATTGGTTGATTCGAAAGTTGACCTGCCATGACCCCTACAATGTAAAGAGGTATTGCATCTGGTGAAACAATCTGATATTTAAGAAAATGCTTCAACTTAATTTCATCACATTTGGCTACCAACCTGAAAGTGTCACCAATTCTATCAACAAAGTACACAAAGTAGTCTCGGTCGAGGTAGAAGAGGTCACCAAAGTTGAAGTAAGCGTCGCCTTTCTTGAAAACATTACGGATACGCTTCTTTTCATTGGCTTCCTGTGATGCCTTATAGAAGTTGACTGGAGCAAAGGCCGAAATGAACAGGCCCTTCTCTCCTACATAAAACACACAAAGTACTCAATAAAAATATTCAAATCACCACAGTTGGCATTCTCATCAAAAGAATATATTTTGTTTTCAGTAGTCAGTCTCAATAAAGGAATTGCAAGTGATTTAATGGAAACTGACTGGCTAGATATATAATTGTATTAGCTGAGAGTGTGAGGGGTGTTTGTGTTGCATTACTGCACAGTGAGACAGTTTTCATTTGGTAGTCTTCAGGGCTGTTGTTTTATTCTTGAATAGGGAGAAGTTATTATTGATGACTTATTTAGGACTAGGCATTTCTTCGACATTTTTGGGACAGGACTGTGGCCAAGCGGTTTGAAAGTGTACAAACATGGATTACCAGCAGTGACAATGTTGTGGGGAAGCTGGCAGAAAGCAGAATTCTGGTGGTTCAATTTTTGACATGTACTGAGGGAGTATGAGTGGCATAAATTTGCGGTTTCGACTGACCCTTATCTCTCGAAGTTCCACATAAAAGTATCGAAGGTGTGACAACAATTCTTTAGGAAGTGCTTCAAACTTCAAACCTACATGTTGTGTAAACCATTCTAAACAGACACAAAATTGTATTTTGTGAGCATTAATACATGTTTTGTAAATTAACATTTCCATCACGTCAGTAGTGTTGACATCAGCCATGTTGGTGGCCAAGCGGAAGTAGTGTAAATGTAGCCACTTACTTTAGTCAGCTGTTCTAAACTAGATTTTGCAAAATATTCCATACTGTTTAAATGTACTTTTTTACACATGAACTGATGTTTTGTAAAACAAGTTCGTAAAGTTGAAAAGATTATGGTCATGAGTTCAATAAATGATGAAACTCAGTGAAAATTGGCGAATTCTTAACAAAACCTTACACCAAAACGCAGCTGTTCACATGTACGATATTTGCACATGCTTTTCAGCAATCTGATGCATGATCCTCATGCTATTCATCTGCATAAGTTTGCAGTTTGCTTCCCAAAATTAGGGGAGAAATCATCTTCGATGTAACCATATACATATACATAACATATATTGAGTGCTTTGAGTGAGTCTAAACTTTTGATGGGTAGTATAACAACCAACTTTCTCTGTCATAAACATGAACAAACGTATACACACTGTGCAAATCCACATATATTCGTAATACCTTTTGTACTGAAATAACCCCTTGTCTTTGTTATCATTTGCATCCATGCACGTGTCAGCCACCCAGTGTCTGCTAACTCAAAATGATTGATGTTTTTCATAACATCAAAGAACTCTAAGTATATTCATTTTTTGTTAGTTATTTTCACGACCACTGCCACCAAGTTCACAAGACTGATAACAAATGAAGGCAGAAATACAAATAGAAAGGCATAAACACAATTATTTTACAATTGGGTGAAATGAAAAAAGACCCTATCACTCACAGGATTTTAACACTGCTGTTTGTAGGAAATGGCAAATAATACAAACAGAAACCTATAATCTAAGGAAAAAACTGATTCCTTTGTCTCTCAGGGTCATTTTTATGCCATTACCAGAATGCCAACAAAAAGACATGGATAGACATATATCGGTATATTGAATGTGGAAGTAAAGCTAACCTGGTTTAACTTCTATACAATGTCCGTTGCTGTCTCTGATTGGTTCCGCCGTTGCAGTGTCATATTTGACCAAGGTTTGGTAATTTGCACTCAACCTCTGCTGTTGAAATAATATCAATAAATAATTAGGATAAATGAAAATTTGAAACAACATTATTTGTATAATCATTTAATGACTACAAGAATCATAGTCACTGCCATAAAAGTTTGCCTCTTCAGGATAATGTTTCAATCATCGTAAAAAACAAATGGTCAAGGACATTGACTGTATGTTGCGTTATGCTGCTGTCAGTTTCCATCGTTAGTAGTTCACTTGTCTTCACTCTAAGGTTATTTATGAAAGTGGGACTGTGACCATCAAACCTGTCCACATACTGAACTCACCAACAATGGAGAGAGTCTTCCAATAGCCCCAGGTTTGTTACTGAGGTTGAACAACATTGTGTTTCCTTCTGTTGCCCCGAAGAACTCAGTTATTTGGGGTATTCTGAATCTCGCCTGCACCTGCTCCCAAATGTCTCTACGCAGACCATTGCCAAATGCTGCTCGAATTTGATGACTCTTCTCTTCAGGGCTCTGAAAGGAAAACAGTACTACCATAAAGTGAAGTAGTCAATGAGTCCAGAGTCATCTGTCCTATTTCTGAATATTGGACGAGGTCAATCAGTTGTTCACAGTTAGGAGAGAGAGTCTGTAGCCAAAACAAGAGCATGTTGGCAGGTATACATGAAGGAACTAGAACAGATCACCAGTACGCTGAAGGACAACACCCTGTAAATTCACCTCTGGCCGTGAAAGAAGATACCAGAACAGTTCACCAATATACTGAAGGACAACACGCTGTAAACTCACCTCTGGCCGTGAAAGAAGGTACCAGAACAGTTCACAAATATACTGTAGGACAACACCCTGTAAACTCACCTCTGGCCGTGAAAGAAGGTACCGGAACAGTTCACCAATATACTGTAGGACAACACCCTGTAAACTCACCTCTGGCCGTGAAAGAAGGTACCGGAACAGTTCACCAATATACTGAAGGACAACACCCTGTAAACTCACCTCTGGCCGTGAAAGAAGGTACCAGAACAGTTCACCAATATACTGAAGGACAACACCCTGTAAACTCACCTCTGGCCGTGAAAGAAGGTACCAGAACAGTTCACCAATATACTGTAGGACAACACCCTGTAAACTCACCTCTGGCCGTGAAAGAAGGTACCAGAACAGTTCACCAATATACTGTAGGACAACATCCTGTAAACTCACCTCTGGCCGTGAAAGAAGGTACCGGAACAGTTCACCAATATACTGTAGGACAACATCCTGTAAACTCACCTCTGGTCGTGAAAGAAGGTACCGGAACAGATCACCAATATACTGTAGGACAACACCCTGTAAACTCACCTCTGGTCGTGAAAGAAGGTACCGGAACAGATCATAAATATACTGTAGGACAACACCCTGTAAACTCACCTCTGGCCGTGAAAGAAGGTACCAGAACAGATCATCAATATACTGTAGGACAACACGCTGTAAACCCACCTCTGGCCGTGAAAGAAGGTACCAGAACAGATCATAAATATACTGTAGGACAACACCCTGTAAACTCACCTCTGGCCGTGAAAGAAGGTACCGGAACAGTTCACCAATATGCTGTGGGACAACACCCTGTAAACTCACCTCTGGCCGTGAAAGAAGGTACCAGAACAGTTCACCAATATACTGTAGGACAACACCCTGTAAACTCACCTCTGGCCGTGAAAGAAGGTACCAGAATAATTCACCAATATACTGTAGGACAACATCCTGTAAACTCACCTCTGGCCGTGAAAGAAGGTACCAGAACAATTCACCAATATACTGTAGGACAACATCCTGTAAACTCACCTCTGGCCATGAAAGAAGGTACCAGAACAATTCACCAATATACTGTAGGACAACATCCTGTAAACTCACCTCTGGCCGTGAAAGAAGGTACCAGAACAATTCACCAATATACTGTAGGACAACACCCTGTAAACTCACCTCTGGTCGTGAAAGAAGGTACCGGAACAGATCACCAATATACTGTAGGACAATACCCTGTAAACTCACCTCTGGTCGTGAAAGAAGGTACCAGAACAGATCACCAATATACTGTAGGACAACACCCTGTAAACTCACCTCTGGCCGTGAAAGAAGGTACCAGAACAGTTCACCAATATACTGTAGGACAACATCCTGTAAACTCACCTCTGGCCGTGAAAGAAGGTACCAGAACAGATCACTAATATACTGAAGGACAACACCCTGTAAACTCACCTCTGGCCGTGAAAGAAGGTACCAGAACAGTTCACCAATATACTGTAGGACAACACCCTGTAAACTCACCTCTGGCCGTGAAAGAAGGTACCGGAACAGTTCACCAATATACTGTAGGACAACACCCTGTAAACTCACCTCTGGCCGTGAAAGAAGGTACCAGAACAGATCACCAATATACTGTAGGACAATACCCTGTAAACTCACCTCTGGCCGTGAAAGGAGGTACCAGAACAATTCACCAATATACTGTAGGACAACACCCTGTAAACTCACCTCTGGCCGTGAAAGAAGGTACCAGAACAGATCACCAATATACTGTAGGACAACACCCTGTAAACTCACCTCTGGCCGTGAAAGAAGGTACCAGAACAGATCACCAATATACTGTATTATGGTGACCCTGTAAACTCACCTCTGGCCGCGAAAGAAGGTACTGGAACAGTTCAGCAATATACTGAAGGACAACACCCTGTAAACTCACCTCTGGCCATGAAAGAAGGTACCAGAACAATTCACCAATATACTGTAGGACAACATCCTGTAAACTCACCTCTGGCCGTGAAAGAAGGTACCGGAACAGATCACCAATATACTGTAGGACAATACCCTGTAAACTCACCTCTGGCCGTGAAAGAAGGTACCGGAACAGTTCACCAATATACTGTAGGACAACACCCTGTAAACTCGACTCTGGCCGCGAAAGAAGGTACTGGAACAGTTCACCAATACACTGAAGGACAACACCCTGTAAACTCACCTCTGGCCGTGAAAGAAGGTACCGGAACAGTTCACCAATATACTGAAAGACAACATCCTGTAAACTCACCTCTGGCCGTGAAAGAAGGTACCAGAACAGATCACTAATATACTGAAGGACAACACCCTGTAAGCTCACCTCTGGCCGTGAAAGAAGGTGCCAGAACAGTTCACCAATATACTGTAGGACAACACCCTGTAAACTCACCTCTGGTCGTAAAAGAAGGTACCGGAACAGATCACAAATATACTGTAGGACAATACCCTGTAAACTCACCTCTGGCCGTGAAAGGAGGTACCAGAACAATTCACCAATATACTGTAAGACAACATCCTGTAAACTCACCTCTGGCCGTGAAAGGAGGTACAAGAACAATTCACCAATATACTGTAGGACAACACCCTGTAAACTCACCTCTGGCCGTGAAAGAAGGTACCGGAACAGTTAACCAATATGCTGTGGGACAACACCCTGTAAACTCACCTCTGGCCGTGAAAGAAGGTACCAGAACAGATCACCAATATACTGTAGGACAACACCCTGTAAACTCACCTCTGGCCGTGAAAGAAGGTACCAGAACAGATCATCAATATACTGAAGGACGACACCCTGTGAACTCACCTCTGGCCGTGAAAGAAGGTACCGGAACAGTTCACCAATATACTGGAATACAACACCCTGTAAACTCACCTCTGGCCGTGAAAGAAGGTACCGGAACAGTTCACCAATATACTGTAAGACAACACCCTGTAAACTCACCTCTGGCCGTGAAAGTAGGTACCGGAACATTTCACCAATATACTGTATAATGGTGACCCTGTAGCGACAGCAGTCCTCCCAGAAGTGAGATGCTGAAAATTTCCTTCGCAGAACCATAGTTGCACCTAAAAAGTTGGACAATCATATTCTTTAAATCTTTGTTGATGTGTTTGATTTACCTTGCATTTACTTACTGCACAATTTCTACCCATATGCGTTTCTTTAGATCATTCAAATCCGTGAATATTTACGTTGTTTCTCAAAGAACAGCAGATAAAAAAACATAAATTGGGAATGCAATAAAACAAACATATTTAGAGTGACACATTTGAAGCCAACTGATTAATATCTCATAGCAACATGACAGCTGACAATCGCAGATCCTTCAGTCTGTTTTTCTCAGCTAGCATGTAAAGTAATTGTTTAATTGTTCATCCATATGTCACATACACTACAAAGAGACACAAGAAAGATGCATGCAGTGCAAAGCCTCCTCCACAGAGATACAAGCTGGCTGCGGTGAGCCAGTCAGTGAGTCAGTGAGTGAGTGAGTGAGTGAGTGAGATTGGTTTTAAGTCGCTTTTAGCAATATTCCAGCACGGCGGGGGACACTAGAAACGAAAGATAACTGACCCAGAGCATTTATGCAATTAGTAGAAAAGGATACAATAATTTTAAATAGCAATACTGATTCAATACGGATTTTTAAATGTTAATATTCTAATAGAAAACGTTTAGCACTTCTTTCTATGAAATATCAATCTTTATTACTCGCCCGTGGAAGATACTGCAGTGTAATATTTTTACGGCAATATTACACTAGTGTAATACCGCTAGACGTATGACGTCATTGTTACAGTTATGACGTCACAATGCTAATACCTCTGTCAGAATGGTATGAGACCTTGCTTGGCCTCGTAGAAAGCTGAGAGTCATCACACTTCGTAGGCAGTTTCTATCAGTTTATGTTCGAGAGTAAAAAACAGAATACTAAACTCGCTTCCGTGAAATAGCATTTTTATTAAACTCGTGAAAGATTTAGCATCAAACTCGCTTTCGTTTAATAAAATGGTATTACACGGAAAGTCGTTTAGTATCCTCTATATATACACATACCAGGGTAAAAATACGTAGAAAATGGATTGCACAGACAAAATCCTCATGATAATGATAACACGCTTGAAACGGCACAACTGCTATTTCAAGAATTCCTAACAAACATGTTACATTCATATTTCAAACGCGTCCCTGAAATATTTACTCACTGAAATCAAATTAGGGTCATCAATTCCAACAATTAACACTTATCAGAGGGTTACACAAAGTCCGAAGTCTAGACTACCAGTTGTCCGACTTCCATTTTTGTGGAAGTCGCGGGGGCTGAGCGGGTTAGGCGGCTGGTTTTGTGTGCTGGCGATTAGGTGCCTGACTCTGAGGGTGTGGGTTCGAATCCCCGATGGGACTCAACCCAACAAAAGAATCTGTACTTCACTAAGAAAGTGTAATCCCAAATATAACATATGTTTACCACGACAAAGACTAGTGACAACTTTACTGTCAAATTAAACATATAAGAGAGTTGACTATTATCCTACCTGGATTAGTTATATTCTATTTTGCATATCTCACTTTGATAAATAACACCCTAATTAAAGTAACAACTCTCCTTTTAAACTTTTATGAATATTCCATTCTAATGATCTCAAATGACAAATTGAATTCATGAAGGGATCAGTTCGATTCACATATGACGTCACTGCAAGTATCAAGGAAGCTCTCAGAACTTTGGATACAAACTTTAGTTTCATAAACTTTCAAGTTAAACATTGTATGAGCAAGCATGTCTTATCCAAGGGAAAAATGATGATAAAAAGGATAAAAAGCTAGTTTCAAAGCTACTTCATCAGTTAAATACTAAGGGAGAATATTTCGATTTTCAACTGAGAAGTTTTTGTGTATATTTTACAATAGATTATTTGCACTTTAATGTGCAAAGAAAATACTGAGTTGTTGCATTCTAGAACTGATAAAACACATCAGGAGAGCCCTTATAGATAAGACATCATACCAGCACGTATAGACCCGTAGAGACCCAGCCCACCGCCTGCGCTGTGGTACAGCGGCAACGTCATGTACAACACGTCATCCTGCGTTAGGTCCACAAACAAGATACCTCCACTGACTCTCATGAGACTGATTTGCCTCATAAACACTGGTTTGGACAGCCCTGAATTAAGCATAAAAGCATAAAAGCAAAAAAGCTTAATTTGGATAAGAAATGAATTGCATCTTCGACATACCAGCTTTGATTGTCCCCACCAGTCCTGATCTGTGATAAAGAGCAAGTACGGTGTACACGATGTCATTGCTGGTGCAGCTGACAATTGCAAGGCCGAGGCCGATGCTTATTTCCCTCCAGTGAGAAATAGGTGCCAAATGTGTATGATAAGATTACATTTAGATTTTACCTTACTAACCCGCATAGCACTCAAATCAGTGGCAGATTGTCAGATGTGTGGCATGCTGGAGATATATCGCGGGTAAATCTCATTTTATAAAACATCTACCGTGACAAGACAAAAACATAACAAACAGGACATTACATTATTCAGACCCTCTCCTGTCAATAGAGAATCCATCTCTATTCATAAACAAACTCTGAAGGCATGACTGTAGTACCTGTAGTGCCAGATGTGTAAATATAACAAGCTGGGGTCATTGGTGTTAAACCTGCACGGACGCTGGCGTCAACTCCAGCTGGAGACGATGCTGCCATAAGATCATCGAATGAGATGTAGCCAGTAGACACCTGATTGGCTGAACATCCTTGGATATATATTGGCATGCCACCAAACTTTCCTTCCTCAGCATGGACTGCATCAAAGAGTTCCGCTCCTACAGGAATTTAGATAACATTGTGTTTATGACTCAAGAAACAATTTCAATAAGCTGCAAGAAATGAAGTGAGTTAGATTTTAGCGTTTTTAACAGCAGTTTTATCCATTATATTCCAGTTATAACTATTCAGTGCTGCCGTGACCATTATGGTAAAATCAATGACCTCAGGTATGGTGATGAAACACCTGGAAACATAATCATGGGTTTCTGGCATGACCAAGGGACATAACTCTACATAAGGAATTTAGGAGCCAGAGATGATTGGCCATGTACCCTAAAAAAAGAAAGAACATTTTTCAAAGACGAGAGTTTCAGTATTACACACTGCAAAAAATACAATGTTTAGAGGTAGATTGGAATGGCAGGCTATTGACAAAATCCCTCTTTAAAGGTCACATGCAACCAAAATATCAAACATAATTAAAACACAATTATCACTTATTCATGACATATAATATACATTGCTGTTTATGAAAAAACATATAAACAAAATTATAAGCGTACAATCGCAAATCAAAAGTGCAATATTTTGTACTTGGGTTTACTTCCCAAGAAACGAAGCAGCCGGGATACCGAACCCAGTCAGAGCGGGTGGGTGTGCACTCAAGTGTAACGGCTGGTTCATTTGCAGATGCCCTCAGGGCTCATTGTGTGTGTATATATAGAGATGTTGGGTTTTGTAAATACATGCTCATTTTTTGTGTATAACATTTTGCAATCAACAGACATCATAACATGTCATGTGTACAAGTATCACACCTGCCTGTCTGTGTAATTTCATAATGTGACAGAGACCGAACTCGGGCCATAAATCAATGCGTTTTGTTTATGGTGTTTAGCCTGATAGGTGTTAAGTTCAAATTACATGTGGTCAGTGATCGCAGTTGTGTATTGAATATTGTCATTAGCAGACAGGCAGGCAGACATATAGGTGTCAATAAAACAGACATTGAGTTTTGTCTGTGACAACGACATATCTATATCACAGTTAGAAATTCTGTCAACGCTAAATAGTGGCATTGCTTTTAAGTATCGAACTGAGAAAGTGACTCGGTAAGAAGAACGTGCAGTGAAATAGACAAATGAAATTATATAAACAGTTTATTTACTGTCATAACATATAAAAAGCTCGCGCCTGTGAAATATCAACAAAACATTAGAAAAATAGCTCACACCAAAGCCTTCACCGAGTATTCACCGGACAAGCCGCTTACAAGCTGCGCGAACCTATTTCACTGCGCATGTGCTATGAGCGCATCCCAGCGCAGCGCAGCCCAGCTGTTGAAACCACTTTTCCCCCCAAGCGCTGGGAGAAAATTAGTGAATCGTTTGAACTCCGATTTCGCGCGGTTTTTTTCATCGCATTATTTTTCAACTTTATAAGTTGAATTTGCATTTTTGATGATTTGTTTCGGTAAGTCCATACCGAAAGGTATCAGAATCTGCAAAGTTGTGTTTTACATTGCATGTGACCTTTAAAGATCATCTAGAGAATATTAATAGTAACTTTGGTTTTGGTAAGGTTCAACAGACAAATATGTTATAAAATGCTGTCTATTCAAATAATCCTGCTCATTCCTGATTCAAACAAGTTATGATATCTACTGTACTTCAAATACAGCAGGCAATGTATGAACACTTCCCTTCAAAAACCTTTCTAACTGTGACAGTCATGATCACAAAATATTTTTTTTCATATGAAATATAATCTACCACACAACGTTTCTGGGCTTTTCCTTGCCCCTTCGTCATTCACCAGACGAAGGGGCAAAGAAAAGCCCAGAAATGTAGTGTATACAATAAAGAAGAATTTGACATCCATGATATTTTGTCTAATATATTTTGTCTTGTTCAGAAGGTCCATTTGAAATGGTTGTTGACTTAAAGCACAAGAGTGGCAGTAATTCTTTTGTAAGAGGAATGGCAATGGTGATACCTCTTTTGAAACACAGCTTTGTCGGTCCAGGGTATTTGCACTTGGTTTGCAAGGGAGTGAGTGAGTGATCTAGTTTATTTGTACGCCGCTTTTAGCAATATTCCAGTAATATCATGATGGGGGACATCGGAAATAGGCTTCTCACATCGCACCCATGTGGGGAACCGAACCTGAATCTTCGGAGTGACAAGAAAACGCTTTAAACACTAGGCTACCCCACCGACCCACTTGTTAAGCGAGGTCTCCCATAAGTAAAACTCGGAAAACTCACTCACTCTAGTTGCTGCAAGTGACAACCTTGACACCCCTTGAACAAGATGACGAAAGCAGCCATTATTGGGCAACAAATGTTAAAACCTTGAAAAAACAGAAACATATAGCATAATCAGGAAATACTTGAAAATATCAAATGACCTTGTCCAGCGATGAATGCCTTAGCTCCGCTGACATTGACAGAATGACTCAGCTGTTTCTGACACAGGTTAAAGTTGATCAGAGCTGTTGCTATTCCCATTTTCTGGAGACCTGTAACATAATATATGGAAGTCACCAAGGTTACCACACTTCTGTTATGGTAGTGTAATCATTCAAAACATATATTTTTTTATACACATTATTAATGATAAATTCTTAACATATTATTTACATGAATGCTTGTTCAGTTGAAGACCTATTCAATCAAAGCTTCTATTTCCAAAATGGGCATGTGCATGTCTGACTGTATGGAATGGCTGATGCATTGCGGAAACCTCATCCTATCATAAAAACTCTCATGTTTTTATCATCTATCACTTTCCAATAATATCCTGTCATCATTGACAACAAAAATACTAATAAAGTAGGCTTATTTTGAAAAGATGGCAAATGTGGATTTACCTCTAATGATTACCTCAATCTTGCTACAAATTATAGGCTTTCAGTGTCAAAACCATCACAGGACCAACGACCCTGCTTTCTGGTGGGTCACACAGAGACAGTTTGTAACAGCAGAATTCACAGGGTTCTCATGGAATTCACCTTCCTGTTATTGCACAGAATGTTCTAATGCTAATGGACAGATGTGAATCTATTGCTTCTCACACTTTCCAGAATGTGATGATCTTGTGTAGGTGTTTAGGTCTACTAGGCCAGGGTCTCATAGCAAGGTATTTTACAACAGTTTAGACATAACCCTTTTTTACACAACATTCATTCAACTTAGAATACATTTTGTCTGTGCCATGGGATATTGGGATATTTAGGCATATTATCTCAGCTCAACTGCATCATAGTTTGTGGGTCCAGCTCTTGGAGCACATACCTGACTTCTGTGTGAATATGCATGACAGGCTCCCATGCATGATACAAAATTTCATTATGATTAGATGCTGTTTTCAGATGCAACACCATGGTTGGGTAAATTTACACCTAAAGAATAGCTACATTCAAATCAAAACTTCCGTTATTCGTGTATGTTTTATCAATATACAGTTACATTGTCAACTGAAAGTTACAATAATGTATATACTATATAAGACATTTAGAGAATAACATGTGAGGTACAAGGAATATGTCCTCAGAAACTTTACTAGTGTTAATTTCACTTCCAACTATAATCTGTATGTTAGCTGCTAGAGACAATAATGTTTATCATCCAAAACTGTGTTCCACAGGAGATATCGCTTGTGTGAGATCAAACGATATCTCCTAGGAGATATCGTTTTGAAAGTAGATTTTGTACAATGCCCTGACAATGCTATGACGTCATGTACTTGATGACGTCACAATGCTATGACATCGCTGCACTGCAAGTCTAATGGCAGTAACATGTTCAGAGATGTACATTTTTCATTGAAAATTAATGAAGAGTGATTTTGGATGATAAATAGAATCTCACCCTCGCTTCTGATATCATGTTGATAAAGTAAAATATCCTCGGCAAGCTCGATATTTGTAACTTTATCAACTCGTGTTGATATAATTGATATCAGAAGACACTAGCATGCTCTTATCATGACACTGATGCTGTAGCAGGTCATAAGCCCAAATATTTCAAGATACTTTACCCCGAACTGGTTTAATGTCCCTAGTCTTTTTCATTCGGAGAGGCTTTTGTGTGTCAGCTAAACCTGATCACAGAATAATATCAAGGTTGGCTTATTTCCACAATTTAAAAGCACTACAAGCAGCAAATGACTAGTTCAGATTCAGAAATCCATGCTACAGAATGTGGTTACAGGTGCTGAATGATATCATTTGCTTTTCTCAAAACCTAAAGTTAAATGTTTTTTCTAAAATCCTAACCTTTTTGAACAAAACTGATCTCTTAACACTCACTAACCCCCATGGGTACTTCAAGGTTACGTGGTAGTCCCTGGTCATAGCTATGGATGGATACCAAACAGTGGCTGGCGGTAGACTTGTACAAGAATTGAAAGAAGTGCCACAATAACTTCACACACTATTCACCATGAAACTACATTTCCGGTAAATGATTACTCTGGCAGCTGTATTAATGGAAAGTAAACTCAACCCACATCTCTTCCCGTTTGGGAAGTGGCTTTTCTGGTAAAGCACGATACTTAGACTGTCTGATATTTTCCTCAACAGTTCAGCCATGAGAAAAATGTTCACTTTTACATAAGACGACAAATATGATTTGACATTGCAAATGAACAAAATGCTCTATTACTTGCATATTTTATCACTGAACATACTTGAAAAACATTAGTCTAAATAATGAACATAGCAAGATGTTCCGTCATAAAGTTTGATATACATACATTGTAAATGTTCATATCATACCTTTTGAAATTAAACACTGTACAAGACATTAGTAACACAAAAGAATACAGGAAAAATCTAAAAAATATCTCACCGAGAAATGTCCACACAAAAGCTGGCTCATTGTAGATCATCATGGCCACTGTGTCCCCCACCGACAGCCCCCATGTCCTCACAACATTTGTTACTCTATTGGCTTGCTGGTCAATGTATTCATAAGTGAAAACATTGCCTTCAAAAATAATAAACGGCTTCCTTGGTTGATTGTAGACATGTTTCTCAAATCTGTCTATCAGGAACTCTCCACTTTCAAAATCTTTGTCCATTTCAGTTTTGACGCGCTTCCCGACCTTGATGATCTTGAGGTCATGATGTATCCAAGGAAACATGGTTTTCCAGGCCACAACAGACGCCCCTGCTGCTCCAGCAACACCGTACACAACCTTGTCCAACATGTTGCCAACTGTATCAGTTCACGTCTGCTCTCACATAACAGGTCACCTAGAAGAGTGAGTGAGTTGGGTTTTATGCCGCTTTTAGCAATATTCCAGCAATATCACGATGGGTGACAACAGAAATGGTTTTCACACATTGTACCCATGTGGGGAATCGAACCCGGGCCTTCGGCGTGACGAGCGAACGCTTTAACCACTGGGCTACCCCACTGACACCTCACCTGGAAAAAGAAAGATTTTCCACACTTCCATGCAGTCACACAAAAGTTTTCAACAACACTGTGAACAGTAGTACTAGGAATCCCCAACAACCTGGCAATTTAAAGGTCACATGCAACCGAAAAAAACAAACATAATTAAAACACAATTATCACTTGTTCATGACATATAATATACATTACAGATTGTGAAAAAACAAATAAACAAAATTATAAGCGTACAATCGCGAATCAAAAGTGCAATATTTTGTACTTGGGTTTACTTCCCTCGAAACGAAGCACCCGGGAGACCGAACCCAGTCAGAGCGGGTGGGTGTGCACTTAAGTGTAACGAAGGCTTTCGTTGGCTGGTTCGTTTGCCGATACGCTGAGGGCCCATTGTGTGTATATAGAGATGATCTGTTTGATTGGCATTTTAGAAGTATGGTGAGTAATAAGAAAGGAAGATTCTGTATGGATAACAACTTCTCTTATTGCACCATCCATAAATCAATGTATTTTGTTTATGGTATATAGCCTGATAGGTGTTAAGTTCAAATTGCATGTGGTCAATGATTGAAGTTGTGTATTGCATATTGTCATTAGCAGACAGGCAGGCAGATACATAGGTGTCCATAAAACAGACATTGCGTTTTTTGTCTGTGACAGAGACTGCTTATCATAATCCACATATTTTTCTATGTTTCCTGAGACATGTATTAAAACATATCAGTTTTCAAGCTGATCAATTTTTAACAAGGAAATTAGTATTTCTAATGCTACACTTTCTTGAAAACTTGGTTTGCAAATCTGCAACCAAGTATGGGAGCAGTGTATTTTTATGAATGCAGACCCAAGACGCTTGTAATCACAAGAAAAACTTCGACCACAGCGATAATCCTTGCACGCATCACTTGCTGTGTTTTTACGAGTCACCTTCCCTGTTCAAGCCGCGCGAACCTGATCACTGCGCATGCGCTATGGCGCAGCGCAGCACAGCTGTTGAAACGACTTTTCACCCCAGCGCTGGGGTATAATTAGTGAATCGTTTGAACTCCGATTTCGCGGGTTTTTTGTCATCGCGTTATTTTTCAACTTTATAAGTTGAATTTGCAGTTTTTGATAATTTGTTACTTTAAGTCCATACCGAAAGGTATCTGATTTATTCTGACAATCAAATGTTTGGTGTCAGTGTCGAGTTCATAATTTTTGCAACCTATCTTGTCAAACAGCAAAAACACCGGAAATGCGAGAGCAGACGACAATTTGAGCTTATCACGTGATAGTCACGTGCATAATATACACTATGGCAGATGTTTATGTTGCGTGGAATGCAGTGCGCGATGAGAACCATAAACTGACTTAATTTTCAAAGACCGCGACGCAAAATACAAAGTGACGAATACTTTTGGCAAGTGTCTGTAGCTTTGATCGACGGTACCTGACCAGCTGATGACAACGCTCACGACAATAACAGTTATGATCACAAAGTAAACTTTGTGAAGTAGGCTAGCCTACATCTAGTATAGTACTTCAAGCAAAATCAAGAGCTTCAGACTGACCTTCTCAGTACAGTGATAAGTCAATGCCCCGAATAATGCACACTCAGTGATTCACGATGTTTTGATGAGAAATATATATATATGGGCACGTCTTCAGTTAGCACTATATGCTATGTGTGCATGTAAAATACCACACTAAAAGTACGACATTCCACTCTTTGACATGACAAGTATCTTACCTGCTTCGCAAAATCCCTGTGGAGTACCTTTAGAATACCACAACTTCTCGAGGCGGACGGACGCGTGTCACTGGGGTCTTCCCACTTGTCCGGCACCTATTGGGAATAACCCTAACTGACCACGTTCCTCAATCTTAATCCTGACAAGGGTCACATTGATAACGAGCATCGGACACAATCCGGGACCAGTATCTCTTAAGCTAACAGAACCAAGGTGCAGTACGTTTATCGGTATTGTATGTTTATATCATATGGTCAAATCCCGTGCCACATATACCTACATGGCATACTCGCGACTGGCCATCGATGCTTTGGTCCAACTAAATGACATAATCTCAAGTTCATAATAACAACGTTATCGTAAGTTTTATCTGTATAATACGATTATCTGCGATAGCTAGAATAAGTATATACTACGGATGACAGTCAGAAATCAGGGGGTGGCTGTCTAGTAAATTCACTTAGGTAAGAAACTTTACTTTCTTCTACTTTGACAAATCGTTACCATTGCTGTTCTATGTTAACTTTAATCTATTGTAAATACCTTAACGATATGTTACCACCCTTGGCACTACCTTCAGGTTTATGTGTAGACTAATGCTTAGTCTCTGAATATATATAATTTTGATAGTAACAAACAAGCCCATTTTAATTGAAAAGGAGCCCCAGGGAGACCAGAGATTCAGAACCTGAGGAAATCTAGACTTGCTTTATTTAGGGCTTGGCAGTAGGGAAAATAATGTGGTTCAGGGACTGTGAGACAGACTAGTTTATGTGGAACGAGGCATCCTTTATGATATGTTTCATGTATTTATGTATTACTGTTTAGGATTGTTTATTTAATACTGATTAACACTACGCTGTTTTGTGAGTGTATAGAGAGTGTATAGAGTGTCGGGTATCTTAATCATTGTATTTCGTTTTGGACTGTTATAGAAGGTACATTGTATGAACACCCACTGGGGTGGTGTTTAGAGTACTGAACTATTGTTGTGTACATTGGAATATGTATCGTGGTTAATGAAGTATGTGTCGTGTGTAACGAATCCTCTTGTGATGTTTATGTACTTTGATAGCTGATATGTATTGTTAACATGTTCTAATAATATATTGTAAACCATACTATTATTGACTGATTATGTAATATATCATCCTGTCACTGCTGTGTAATAAACTCCTCCTTTGTTTACTCAGGTGTTGTGTGTGGGTTTAATACTATTATTGGTGATAAACAGAATAGGAATAGCAATACTGAAGCTCTGTACAAAAATGGCCACAGAGACTGGAGTCACCCAGCACACAAACCTCATGAGTTATCTCCCTTGCGACACATCTCGCGTGTGTCGCAAGTTGTCTTTTTGCAAGGTGTCAGAGCTAAGGGACCGTTCATAATTTATGGCTAGGGGGGATGATGATGATTTTTATGGAGAAGCATGTACAATGTCAATGACCACCCCTAAAATTTATGTACAAAATAAGTGACCCCCCTGCATGTCATGTACAAAATCAATGACCCCCCCTACCCTTCCCATAATTTCTAGCATAAATTGAAAGATATTTTTATGTACAAAATTGCCGACCCCCAAGTACGTGTGTACAAAATTGATGACCCCCCTAGCTCCCCGGAACAAATGGGTGACCCCCCTTAAAATCATCATCATCATCATCATCACACACACACACACACACACACACACACACACACACACACACACACACACACACACACACACACACACACACACACACACACACACACACACACACACACACACACACACCTAGCCATAAATTATGAATGGTCCCTAATATCGTTTAGCAACTGTGCCAAAATCATTGTTTATTGGTTGTTTATGTCAGGTACAATATGCTCTATTTCTGAGTTCTTGTGTTGGTTGATCATGATACCTGCATTAAAGATTTATGGCATTAATTGTGTATTGTGATATGTGCTGGGAGTGACAGAGGTTTCAGTAGACTATATGTTATGAGAACATTACGATCTGTTGATGTTGATGTGAAATTGTTTAAACTTTTCTACACATCCTTTGTACAAAGTGTCTTGTCTTTTGGCACGGTCTTGTCGTACGGTTCTCTCAGTCTTCAAAACCAAAACAAACTTATCAAGATTGTGAATATAAGTTCGAAAATTACCGGCACGCCTTTAGCCCATCATGCGTCCATAAATGATAATTTATCACATGCTCGGAAAATCATTTCAGATTCATCACATGTGTTTAACTCTGAATATTCACTTTTGCCATCCAGAAGACGTTTCAATGTGCCTTGTCATAGGTCAAACGGAACAAGGAAATCTTTTATCCCCTTGTAGCATTACAATTGTACCAAAAAAAACTTGAAAAATAATCCGTGAAACGTTTAGAAATATATACTTTCATGGGCGCTGATATATCTGTAAAACTGTTGAGTTAGTGTGTGTGACTTATAGGAATACAGAAAAGTGTACACTGTACACTGTATACAAACTACAAGCCTATCCAAACTGTGGCCTCCGCCTCCCCGTCTAGCTACACCTACACCACCTGTACTAACCATGACTTTAACATTACATCTTGTACACTGTATACAAACTACAAGCCTATCTAAACTGTGGCCTCCACCTCCCCATCTAGCCACACCTACACCACCTGTACTAACCATGACTTTAACATTACATCTTGTACACTGTATACAAACTACAAGCCTATCTAAACAGTGGCCTCCACCTCCCCATCTAGCCACACCTACACCACCTGTACTAACCATGACTTTAACATTACATCTTGTACACTGTATACAAACTACAAGCCTATCCAAACTGTGGCCTCCACCTCCCCATCTAGCCACACCTACACCACCTGTACTAACCATGACTTTAACATTACATCTTGTACACTGTATACAAAATACAAGCCTATCTAAACTGTGGCCTCCACCTCCCCATCTAGCTACACCTACACCACCTGTACTAACCATGACTTTAACATTACATCTTGTACACTGTATACAAACTACAAGCCTATCTAAACTGTGGCCTCCACCTCCCCATCTAGCCACACCTACACCACCTGTACTAACCATGACTTTAACATTACATCCTGTACACTGTATACAAACTACAAGCCTATCTAAACTGTGGCCTCCACCTCCCCATCTAGCCACACCTACACCACCTGTACTAACCATGACTTTAACATTACATCTTGTACACTGTATACAAACTACAAGCCTATCTAAACTATGGCCTCCACCTCCCCATCTAGCCACACCTACACCACCTGTACTAACCATGACTTTAACATTACATCTTGTACACTGTATACAAACTACAAGCCTATCTAAACTGTGGCCTCCACCTCCCCATCTAGCCACACCTACACCACCTGTACTAACCATGACTTTAACATTACATCTTGTACACTGTATACAAACTACAAGCCTATCTAAACATTGGCCTCCACCTCCCCATCTAGCCACACCTACACCACCTGTACTAACCATGACTTTAACATTACATCTTGTACACTGTATACAAACTACAAGCCTATCCAAACAGTGGCCTCCACCTCCCCATCTAGCCACACCTACACCACCTGTACTAACCATGACTTTAACATTACATCTTGTACACTGTATACAAACTACAAGCCTATCCAAACTGTGGCCTCCACCTCCCCATCTAGCCACACCTACACCACCTGTACTACTAACCATGACTTTAACATTACATCTTGTACACTGTATACAAACTACAAGCCTATCTAAACAGTGGCCTCCACCTCCCCATCTAGCCACACCTACACCACCTGTACTAACCATGACTTTAACATTACATCTTGTACACTGTATACAAACTACAAGCCTATCCAAATAGTTGCCTCCACCTCCCCATCTAGACACACCTATTCCACCTGTACTAACCATGACTTTAACATTACATCTTGTACACTGTATACAAACTACAAGCCTATCTAAACATTGGCCTCCACCTCCCCATCTAGCCACACCTACACCACCTGTACTAACCAGGACTTTAAAACATTACATCTTGTACACTGTATACAAACTACAAGCCTATCCAAACAGTGGCCTCCACCTCCCCATCTAGCCACACCTACAACACCTGTACTTACCATGACCTTAACATTACATGTATTACACTGTGTACAAACTACAAGCCTATCTAAACTATGGGCTCCACCTCCCCATCTAGCCACACCTACACCACCTGTACTAACCATGACTTTAACATTACATCTTATACACTGTATACAAACTACAAGCCTATCCAAACAGTGGCCTCCACCTCCCCATCTAGCCACACCTACACCACCTGTACTAACCATGACTTTAACATTACATCTATTACACTGTGTACAAACTACAAGCCTATCCAAACTGTGGCCTCCACCTCCCCATCTAGCCACACCTACACCACCTGTACTAACCATGACTTTAACATTACATCTTGTACACTGTATACAAACTACAAGCATATCTAAACTGTGGCCTCCACCTCCCCATCTAGCCACACCTACACCACCTGTACTAACCATGACTTTAACATTACATCTTGTACACTGTATACAAACTACAAGCCTATCTAAACTGTGGCCTCCACCTCCCCATCTAGCCACACCTACACCACCTGTACTTATAAACCATGACTTTAACATTACATCTTGTACACTGTGTACAAACTACAAGCCTATCCAAACAGTGGCCTCCGCCTCCCCATCTAGCCACACCTACACCACCTATAAGTTGTTCACTGTCCTCGAGGGGGACATGGGCTGATGTACCCTCGATGTTTGTTTATCGAGGATACATCAATTCATGGGTCCCGAGGGACCAGTGAACAAGGTATTTATCTCACCCAACACCTCAATTGTAATTATGAACTGTTTGAAGCACGGATCATAGTATGGAGTGAAAGGCGACAAGACAAGAAAAACAAATTTAGAGTTATCTCCCTTCCATCGAATTGGCATTCGCAAATCATTGGTAATTTCC